TTCTCCAAGAAACGTAGAGTTATCTCTCACCACCCAGTTATAAACCCCCGCAAGCCTGGTAAAATTAGAGTGGTTTTCGATTGTGCCTTTAAATGTAAGGGAATATCCTTGAACGATTGTCTGTATTCGGGACCTGATCTGATGATTGACTTGGCTGGGGTACTATTGAGATTTAGAAAACATCGGATAGCCTTGTCAGCAGATATTGAGGAGATGTTTCTTCAGGTTCACTTACCTGTCAAGAATAAAAGTGCCTTTAGTTTCTTATGGTATTCTGAGGGTAGACTGGAATTACCACCGAGCCTGTTTGAATTAAACGTACATCCCTTCGGTGCTACCTCATCACCTTTTTGTGCAGCCTATGCTTTAAAACGAGCCACAAGACGATGGAAACAAGGGCAACTCCTTGCCGATACGTTTTGGAGACGGTGGAAGCGGGAGTACTTGACGACCTTACAATCGCGTTCAACGACATCGAAACTTACAAGTGGGAGACCTAGTACTAGTGGCTGCGGACGAGTATGTGTAGATTTACGCGGAACATAAGGAGAAGGTGGGTCAGGAGTGGATGATGAGCGATTTTCGCTCTTTCGTAATGCATGAATATCAGAGCTTCTCGAAGGTGTTGATTCGACCAGGTGTGTCAGCCACGTCTCGTAAACCGTTAATGCCCAGCTCTTGCTACGCTCGCGCCCACGCTGTTCCTTGAAGTTTTCAGAAACGCTTAGTTATAACGGACGAAAAAACCAAAACACCGATTGGCCGCTTGAGATTTCTTTATTGTTACACCAACATATAAAAATAATAACTGAACCAAGGTCTGTGAACAAATATTACGATAATAAATCATAATGTTACTTCTGACGGTGTTTTACTCTTCTTTCTGAACAGCGACCGATGAGACGATGACTGTCGTATTGATGCCTCCACGAAAATCGAGGAAGTTGATTTTGAGCAAACAACCAAGAATTGATCGTTCAATCTTCAACTCCGTTGACACTCCCCGGCAAAAAAGGGATCCAACCCTTTTTTCCTTCACGACCAATACACGTTGACTTGGATGCCATTGCGAGAACCTGGGTCACACGGACAGAGCTGAAATGGAAAACAAACAGAAAAGCCAACACACCACAAGCATACCCACAGCAAAATCTCACACATCAATGACGACCTGCGTCTCCAGACAGAGACCTCCTCTTGACATCTTGCAACACAGTCTCCACTTGCTAGAATGACTCTTGCAGAATGCAACGTGACCATAGCACCACCTCACGATGCTCTACGCACATCCTCTTATCTACTCACTACCAATTATCACTGAAATCGCTTGTCACTCATTCTGCCTCAGTTCTAGTAACGGTGACGTATGTGAGCCTCAGTCGTTTACACTCTTTCTCCCCGGCGTGTCGGACCACAGCTAATAATTATCTCCGTATGCATTTCATTTTTAGCAATAGCCTCCCCGGCGTATACGACCCATCTGCTGTCCTTAACATCAATCAATTCATTCATGGATGTAGAAGAGTGGACACAACTTCAGAAGTAATCACGGCGAAAATTTTAAAAACTTATGCAATAAAATCAAGGTACGAAAACAACGAGTAAACACAATGAATCCAAAAACAACAATTGATATGACACACCACACGTATATACAAACAGTACACACAAACTCGCAGTCCATGTCTTGATGGAATTCCTTTGAAGAATCGCAGGGCTAACACCAGTACGCCTACAAACCTTCACAGGTTGACGATTGTAAGTTGTGGAATGTCCGGACACAAACAAGATTAACCAACAATTACATCAATTGGAACTCACACAACTATTTAACACAAACATATGTACAACCAACACATCAAATGTTGTGGATTCTGCATTGATGAACTACCCTTGAAGAACTGTAGGACTTACAGCAGTACGCTTACATTCCTTCTCAGGTTGATGATCCAAGAGGAAGTCGTCCGGACACAAACAGAATTACCAACAGCTAGATGACAGATGATATCAATTCAGTATATACAACATGAACATATGTACAAAATCACACACCAAGCACATTGGACTGCTCATTGATGCGCTACCCTTTGAAGAATTGTAGGACTTACAGCAGTACGCCTACAACCCTTCTCAGGTTGACGCTCTAGGTCGGAAAATCGTTGCAGAGTTCATTTGCTGACTTCCTTCTATCAGCTCTATCCTCAAATCTGAACGGCAACTCGCTCATGTCATTGTATCGTAGAATAAAGATGACGAACAAACACACGACGTATCTGGTCAACCAAGCGTAGGCAAAGAGTAATTTACACCAAAGATAATGGCATTCAAATAGTAACTTGAAACTAGAAATGCCTTTATTCATGCAAGTCAATTTAACAATTACTCTCTCGTTTACACTTGGCTTATCCTCACTAAACTGACCAATATCTTTCGTCCTTCCAAATGCACCAATACTATCATAGTCATTGCAGAAGATACTTGAGTTGATGGACGACTGTTTCATTGTGGATGACAGCACCAACGACGACTGAGTGACACAAGTTGATGAAGTTAGCGGTGGATCAGAAGCTGTTGTTGCTCGGCTTTCAGAAATTTGTCTACCTGCAAGACCACCACCACTGCTGTCTTTTACTATCAGCTCAGGTTTAGCACTGGCATCTGATTATAGGTGGGCTACATGCTGATCACTCACACTGACGGTCTGACAAGTATGCATGCCTTCTGCAACTGCATCTGCATTTATTTCCACTTCACGTTGTAGTTATACAGAACCTTTGTTCAACTTGGCAGTAGTAGGCATATCCCTCATCTCATCATGATCAACCAAAGACAACTGTGAAGTATCATGATCATTATCACGAATATTCACTTTACCGTCAACTTCATCATTTTCAAACTCTTCAATAACAGAAGTAGACAATTTCGATTCCTCCTCGCAAATCCTAAAAGCTTTTATAACTTCACTCTGACTAGTAATACCTTGTAAACTTGTGGGGTCAGAACTGCACTCTGAAGCAGCAACTCTATTCTGTGACACTCTATTCAACAACGGTTTACCAGTTGCAACTACAGACTTCTTCACCGCACCGTTATCGTCACACAATTCGGAGTCAGGCCTGGAGTTTACATTTAGCTTATCACTGAACTTGCTCACTGGTTCACAGTTCACTTCTGTATGCACCTCTTGCAAATGTATAATACACAATTGTCCTTGTCTTGCATCTTGTAACTTATCTAATGAGGATGTACTACGAAACCTGTTACACTCACTAGGTCTATATGCATTACTGGACATCATGGTGCCTTCTCGATATCCACCTCTCTGTGGCCCTGTCGTCATCAATGATTGCGGTTTGCCCTCAGACTGCTCTATTCTAGGGGTGAGATTCAATATACTGGTAAACTTGCTCATATATTGATTGACACTATCTTTTACTAGTTTCAGGATATCATCAAACCTTGGATCGATACCATCATCCTCCATACGGGAGCTTATCTTCACCCACTTCCTTTGCAGTCGATTAGGTAGGCGTCTCGCAATTACCTCTGGGACTGTGCTGGAGTTGAGGTCACTCATGCAATTCATCGAAATCAAGGTATTCTTATAAGTCATAAGATTATCTAAAAACTCAGTAAGTGCCTTGGAGTCATCTTGAAGTTGACTGCCGTTACCTTTGACAGCTTCGTATACGTTCCTTACAATCATTGAAGGTCTTCGAAACCTTTGACATAATATGCTCATAGCCTCAACGTATCTCTCTTTTGGCTTCATAAACTTACAACACTGTATAGCTCTTGCAGCATCTCCAGTGCAATACCTCACCAAATACATCAATTTCAATTCATCACTTAATAGAAAACTACTCAACATGATCTCAAACTCCTTTACAAATTGTAAATAATCAGCTGGGTGACCATCGAAACACCGTGGTTCAAATTTAGGGAGTTTGATGTTCCTATTATCCCTGAACGGCGAAACAGTAACATCAACCATATCATGTTGAACATCAAACACATCGCTACAATTAACAGACAAGTCACCATGACTTACTTTCCTGTTTGCATGCAAGACACTCTGTCCCTTCTTTGACCCAGGCATTGTTGAACTTGACCCAATTCCAAAATGTTCCAGATATTGCTTGTTCAAAGAGGACTTGACCGGCACCAGGAAAGATGAACGGCGACTATCCAAACTTTCACCAACTGTCTGAATCCCCCAAAATCTGTTTCTACCGTCAGAAACTGTCAGTCACGTCTCGTAAACCGTTAATGCTCAGCTCTTGCTACGCTCGCGCCCACGCTGTTCCTTGAAGTTTTCAGAAACGCTTAGTTATAACGGACGAAAAAACCAAAACACCGATTGGCCGCTTGAGATTTCTTTATTGTTACACCAACATATAAAAATAATAACTGAACCAAGGTCTGTGAACAAATATTACGATAATAAATCATAATGTTACTTCTGACGGTGTTTTACTCTTCTTTCTGAACAGCGACCGATGAGACGATGACTGTCGTATTGATGCCTCCACGAAAATCGAGGAAGTTGATTTTGAGCAAACAACCAAGAATTGATCGTTCAATCTTCAACTCCGTTGACAAGGTGTGTCTTTCTGCAAATTAATCAGCCGTTGATATTCATCAGCTATGTCATGTAATGTTAACTTGGGATTTTGTTCTAGCTGATCGAGCAGTCGAGTTCGGATATCTGTGAAACGAGGAGATTGAAGGCTGCGTATGAGAATCAAGGCTTTGAACTGATTGTCTGTAAAGGACCCGAGTCGAAATCTCTCACATTCTCGGTTGACTGTGCCAACGTGAATAAGAAAATCATCATTTTCATTCATTGTCAGCTTGAGGCAACGATAACGTATGTTGAATAATGAGGAGTGGTCTCGATATGTTCACGCAGCAGCTTTATTGTATCATCGAAACACTTGTCACGTGGTTTCTGGGGTAAAATTAGGTTGCAGTACCTTTCATATTCTGCGGGACCCAATTTACGTAATAACACTCGCACCTTTCCAGGCATCGTCTTGTGAGGCGAGATCAACTGTGAATAAATCCTCATATCTTTGATACCATGTGTCAAAAGTGACATTAGCATCTGGATTATAGTTGAATTGTGAAATACTATTCACAATGCCGTCGACAGATGGTAGCATGGTATGATTCAGATTGCTTGAAGGGGAAGTTGGACCAGTCTGTTGGTTGACGAACGTTTCTATTAATTTCGTTTGTTGTTCAAACAGTGATTCCAATTTAGAAGAATCCATAGTTTTCCCCGTCGCCAAATTATTGTTGTGTACTGGTCAAGTAATTAATAGTCCTGACGCAAGAAGGCGGAAATCAGAAAACCACTAGGTTCACGATGATACTTGTATTTTTCAAACAAGGAAAATCAATGTCACACAAGTGTGTGAGCGAATGTTTAAAACTGAACGAATCAATAGACAGTCTTAACATGATTGGTTGTATTGTCATGTGAGAACAAGGTCAGACATGTTTGTTTAGTTAGTGGACAGACAAAAACATATTGTCAATTATAATGGAATATCGATCCATATATACATAGCAAAATATAATAGACTGTCAAAAACAAACATATTATGTGGATACATATCACTAAACTAGAATTTTAGAACATGTTTCAAGGAGCCTCCGCTTGAAGAAGCCCGAAAGTTTAGGTTCTTCTGTCATCAAACACCTGACGGACACAGGACACCGAACAGACGCGATTTAATCATTCACAATAGTTAACACACGAAATAGTACAAATCTTCAGTTTGCTGAGGCTATCGCAATAAAAGAGTTGAAGTCTAACCTATGCATCCCAAGCGAATCTGTCACCCAGCTTCAATCACCCTGGTGGCCCATCATTTAGTGACTACCCGTTTTTTGATCTCATTAACCTATCTTCACAACCCCCATTTTTCCGGTTGACATCAACAAAGGATAATTGCTATTAACCTTCTGAGTTCTGCTCATTGTATTGCATCATCATCATCTGTTTATCTGATCCCTTGCACACCAAATTTTGGACCTTCTCTGACCTTAATGATCATTCCTCATTTTCGCCACGAACAGGTTTGTTAATCACTCTTCGAGAAGCTTCTTTCTAACAGGATGTATGCGGACATTAACACTGTAATACTTCAGCTGCCTTAACATCCTGATATATTATTTCACTCTAATTCTCCTGCAATATCCGTGCTGATAGACAAAAGTACATCAGAATTATACGCTGACTCATTTTACTGAATATGATATGTGATACGCAGTTGATGAGAATCAACCAAATAAAATGGATCCACGTTATTATTCACCAACGCTTGTTCTGTCTCTGCCCTAATTTTACGCTCCTATTGGCAAAGACAATACGCTTTCGCCTTCTTAGAACTACTGAAGTTTCATTCATTCAATTAAAGAAACCGGAGCTGTGTATATTAAAGAAAATCACTCAGTCACTTCTACTGTCATGATGACGGTCCCGTTGAATCTCAGTTTAGGGGTGAGGAAGTGCTGACGTTTGGGTGAATTATGGTGTATGCTTACGCAAGTTCCAGTACAAACAACTCCTACGGTATTTGTTCTAACTAGACCGAACTCAAATAAAAAACAAGTTTGTCTTTCACTAAACACTAGTGACCAGTGTAATATGTCTGACTATTCCTTTGGTGCAGACTGAATTCTATCAGTCAAGTTTGCAATGTGGTCACCAAAATTATCGTCCAAAGTCGAATATTTTGAGATCAAAATCGTATTGCGAGGATGATTGCCTAGCTAGCAAGAGACTGTACATGAGCATACGAGACAGTGTGAAAAGGCCACGTGCCAAATGGTTTGGGAGCTTAGCCACCAAACTTTAGCTTATCTAGTTGACTCAAGAAGTGAAGGCCAGCATCCAGTGTTGAGTGATGAATACTATAGGCTCATGATTTTTGGGGTATTTGTAACTAATAAAATACCGACCTGTTTTTCACCCGTTTGTCTTTCTAACCCTTCAAAACCATTGCTACCTGTAGAGCTCTTCAATATTTTATGCAGTCCTTTGTTTCAATCTGCATCCTCATTATATCTCATTCATTAAATCATTCATCATCTCATGAGACTCTAATAGACTTGTTCAGTTCCTCTCATGCAATGACTAATGTTAGCGACTCTGAAAACTCATCCTTTTTGTCGCAGCCGTCTTTTACGAAGAATTCTATGTAAACACAGTTATACACCCGAAGAAAACCGTCTTGCCGAAAAGATTTTCTTCGTCGAATTGCGTGTTTTGTTATCTGAAATATCGCCGTCGAAACGAGTGAAAGCCTTTGTTGTTTTATATCTCGTCGTGTGTGCCTAACCTTTCATTGTGAAACTGATCGATACTCTGATACGAAAGAAGTGGCGTGATAATGACCATATTAATTTCCGGACCCACTTTATGTTGCTGGATACATGATATGGTATGCCGTTCAAGTTCAGCAGTGATACTTATCTCATTTCAGTGACATCCGCGACGTTGTTAGAGGTAGTGTTACTTTCTTTCCAATGTAAGCAGTGAGTAGGGTATCCAGTCTCTTCGTAAAGGCGTGCTGTGAGCACATGAAGTTTGAGAACACGGACGATATCTAATGAAGCTGTTAAGTTTGACTGGATCTACTAATGGTCAAATGGAAGCTAAAAAGTGTTTATTGCCACTCGTTCTGTGTGAAGCCAAGAGATTCGCTCTAATAAATTTGAAGCAATGACAGCGGGCTTATAGTGATTTATTATGAATGAATTATATGTGAGTGACTTCAGTTTGTGTGAATCACCAGTATGTTAAAATTTAGTGAGTATATATACATATCTAAAACCATGCATTCAATTTGTTGAACGTAATGTCACTAGAAACACATATTTGTAATTTTAATGGCGATAACCACACTCTGAAGTGGAAAAAAGTGGCACAGTGGTTGAAAAGTTAAAGTTGTTTATTCCATCTAAATTTGTCTTGTAAAAGAGAGCAATATTTAAAGGGTACGTCACATATGTAGGGTCAATTAAATTCTGCTTCATGGTAGTTGTAGTGGTAATCATGGTAAAATTTGTTGTCCGTAGAACTCCCCTTAATTTTAATCCTTTTTGTGTCCCACTTTTTACAAAAGTCATGTTGTTTTGATACCCCAGTCGGAGAATGTACATAGGGTGGATGGACAATTTTAACGCGTATATAATGCAAAATAAAACGTTTTCTATAGAACTTCACTGCCCACTTTTTTCATTCAATGTATGCCGTTAACCTCCTTTATCTATTTTACCTACATTTTTTCACGAAAGAATTCACTTTTTTCGGTAGCTCACGTTGCCGATGTAAATTTCAAAAATACCCGAAGTGGCCCAATTTTATGCCAAACGTCATTTGCGTTTTTTATCCACTTCGCTCATTTTCACGAAAATTTCCCTGGTTGGTTCTGTTGTGAGTAATAGGAGTGCGTTTTATTATGGAAGATTTCCGAAATTTCTCTCGTTTTGTACAACAACAGTGACTTGTGTCGAAATTCAGTGTTCTAGTGTAGATTTACGGCCATAGAATTTTCAGTTTACTAGTATGTCATTGGTGACACAACTGATACATAATCCCACTGTCGGTTTTGCAATAATTCTGAATCGCAGCTTACGAAATGTAAGATTGTCACCCTCTCCCCGGTGTCTCTTGACGTTAAGCAGAAATGTCTCACCATATCAGGTGACTTGTTCGAGCATTTTAATCACTCTGAATACTCTGGAATTCTCGTAAACGCTTGGGCGTCAGCACCAAATAAAAGTATTGTTGTTTTGATTTACCTGTAACGCTAGTAATACATGTGATTTGTCAGTGGGGTCGAGGTCTTTATTGTGTGTTCGACATTGTTCCTACTGTGAATGTGGACAAGTCCTTGTGGTCAATTTTATTTATATTTTGAGTAAATTAGATGCAATATTGTGACAAATGCTGGGAATTTCATGCTGTATTATAAGTTCTGTTTTTGGAATAAAGCACATTAGTATTTGTGGTAAATTACGTACAAATGGTGTAGTTATGTGATCACTGCTGTCTCCTTAGCATATCCTGCATACAGAGGCCATCACGTAATACGTATTCGTGAAGGTACACACCACTAAGCATATATACACTGGGACTTCCATAATCCTGAACTTGTGTCAAGTTAGCAGCAGACCTCATTAATTAGATCTGTCAGACTATTAGACACACTTGAGTAACATAAGTTAAGCATTATTATATCATTACCATACATGTGGAGGTCATGCTGTTGGTTGAATTAACTATCCGGGTTACCGAGGAATTCAAACTAACACGAGTGTACGCGAGGTGTACTAGTTGGTGTAAAAGATAATTTTTGACAACTCTTGAATAGACTGCAGTTTCATTTCTTAACTGGACATTTTCAAAAAAAACTGGTATGATCGATTTTCAATTGTTTTTCTCATGCTTTGCCAGGTAATTCGGTTGTGGGGCTATGGTTAGCTGTTACCTAGTTTCTGGTTCAAGAAAATGCAGAATTAGTAACTTATTTTGCCAGATGTCAAGATACTTCAGCAGATCTTCAGAAATTAAAGATTACTATGCTATTTTGAATGTCAAAAGTACAGCATCTCAAGAGGAAATAAAAGAAGCTTACCTCGATCTGTCCAAAAAGGTTTTAGTGAAGTCTATTTAGTTACATACCTATTAGTACCATCCTGACAGGTGTAATGATGAAGGATCAAAGATGCGTTTTGCTGAAATAAGTGAGGCATATTCTATTCTCGGGAAGGTTGAATCTCGCCGAGAATTCGACACAGTCCGGAAGATCAACGCTTTTGGAGTTAGTAGTGATGCTTTCCGAATGCAATACCCCAAACCACCATCTGATCTTGATAAAGTTGGTCTCGAGGCTTATGAAAATGAAATGCGCAGGTTAAATTCATTTTTGAATTATGATTTCTCTGGTTTTGTATTATTTCCCGTTTGTTTATGGCGACTCTGTGAAGGCCGTAATACGCGCACAAAATCCGAGAAGTTTTAACACCGTTTTTAGAGAGCATACTTTGAATCCAAATCAGTTTCCAATCGATTTTCTTACATTTTTACTAATATGTAAGAGACGCCATGTATTCAAATTACAAACCATATGACAGTGTACTCCATATTAAGGTTTTTGTGTTTGTTATAAATACTCAAATTTTAGGTATTCGACAGGTAATCCAAGACTACTTGGAACATACGCTGTCCAAGATCTTCAAGTCTTTTCCTCGTTGCTTACTAGCTGCTTTGATTCGTGATCCAATAAGTCTGCATGTTTAGTAAATGGCATTATCGCCGATTGCGTTTTCACTTAATTCTAAAAGTGTAGCTGGTTTCCTGGAATGATTTAGAATGTTATAGCTCAGAATGACTGGCATTCGTAGTGCTAAATAACAGGATCTGCAAAAAGGGTGAAACGCCATGTGTAGTTTCTCCAACTAGAAATATCTTGTGTATTTAGAAAAAGCTGTGTTTAAACTTAGGGATTGTATTAAATAATCGGACTGGTTATTAACTATCTAGTGCTTCATTATGTATCTGAATATTTAATTGCTCACAAAACTTAAGTTTCCGACTTAACAACTTCAGTGATGACGCACTTATCCGTACACTTCAGCCTATCGAATCGACAAGTGCTGTCGCTATATGGTTCCATCGAGCGTGTATCTTATATTTTATTCTGATGTTATATTTGTAATGTTGGTTAGTTGTAGTTACCCACTCAGGAAAAGTTGAATATTATGCCACAGAAATCTATCGCATAATATTTAAAGTCATAGGTAGTAGGTTTAGTTTTTATTGTAAACTTCACCTATTTAGATGCAGGTATATTGGGTTGATGAGTAGTCAGTAGGAAAGAAATGCTTATTTGGAATCCCTCTGGTAAATATCGTCAATCAAATAACATCAGGTGAAACTCATGGTAGTGTTGAAATATCAGTTAGCACTTTAGGTAGAGTGATTACTACTAATTAATGTGTTTTACAGGTAATCGTATCAACCATTAGTGTATGCCATCTTGCTGTTTTCTGTGGGCTCCGTGAGATTAACTGGAGTAATTTATGAAGACCTTACCAGATATGTCCACGAAATTGCTTTAAACTGATGACTTAGGCTCCACTGGTCGACGGTATGCTTACAATTACTTATGTTCACTACATTCGCACCATTAAAAATATGATCAGGAAACTAGTGAGTAAAATAATTAGTCTGCTAATGTAATATTAGATTATTGCTTTTCTAACGTATATTGTGTATTTCATTCGCGTGTAAACTCAAAGCCATCAAGCAGATAATGACTTTTTAAATGCTCTCATCATGGAATAGGATTGGTCTGTAAGATACAAGCATTTGTTAAGTCTGTCTGACTTCGCTTATATGGCCCTTGGATAATGTTGATTTACCATCGTATATTTATGCAAGTAAACACGATTCAGACTAGAATTTTGTTTCTGTGAAACTTATCTTTTCATACACCTAAACCAAAGCCAGTCAAAGCAACAAACTCATGGATTAGGTTTCAAGGTGAGTTATATTTATCTCCATCGATAAAATAGATTTGACTCACACTACTTGTAGTGAATTTCTTTTCAGTTTGTACTCAGTGCTTTGTCGAGTTTGAATCACTCCACATTAATCTTTTTAGTGGATATAACACACTGGAACAGTATTTACTGGATGACGTTCAAAACAATTTTTTGTCCCCAATTATAACACTTGTAACTACACAACTTCGAACTTGAATTTTATATTCCTCTTCCTTCCTACCCAATTGTTGTAGGGGTAGTAGCGTTTCCCAGATATTCGGGCCAGGTGTTTATTTGTATCCATTACACGTATTCTCAGTTGATTTAATACGTAAAGCTTCACTGACAAATTTTTCCCTTAATCATATTGTATTTTAAGACTGACTATCCTATCCTATTGTATGATTACGTAGTAGTGCTACCTATTTAATTATCTTAGTAACTTCATGTTGTTTTTGGGTCAGACATCTTCATCACCCATCTCTTCTCTCTCTTGACCTGAAGTCCTGTGTTCTCTGATTCTTCTGCCGACTATTTGAGGTTTGCCCGTAGATCTTCGAGTTTGTAGGGTGTTAGACATAAATCGTCCTCTGAAGTTGATCCAACGTATTCATGGAATCCGCAAGATCCAGTCCACCACAATGAGAAATATCGATGACGCTAGGTAGCCTGGACACTTCAAAGGCTTCTCTGGGCTTCCCGTTGTAAATCACCTGGCATCGGGCATCATCTTATAGCAGGTGATAAATGTAGTTTCTAAAAGTTTGGGGCACCGCACTCCATAGTGTTGAAGTTGTTTCCAAATTACTCTGCGGTCAACACTGTCGAAGGCCATTGCAAAGTGGATGAAGTCCAGGTGGAGTGTTGACTGGCATTCTACGCTGTGTGCACTTGTGATGCTTAGCGTTGCAATTTGGTCTGCACCTGAATCCAGCTTGTTTCGGGCAGGGTTCTGCATCCAGAGCATCCTTTAGTCTCTCACTGAGGATGCGATTTGATATTCTGCTCGGCGCGGACAGGAGCATGATTCCTCACTAGTTCTCACAGAGACCTCTGTCGTCCTTTTTTCGTAGTTTGACAAGATAATTTATCTACCAATCAGTTCATGCGTTTCCCCCCTGCCACACCTTCTGTATTGATGCTGCGTGGATATACACTGATGTCTCTGAGCCCTTTTTTCGATACTTCCGGTGGAATTCTGCCTGGTCCTTTTGCTTTCCCGACTAGCTTTCAGTAACCTTATCGTAGTTCTGTGGCTGTTAGTGGAATTTCTGGACGATTTACAAGTAATTTTCGTCTCAAGAGTAATCCCAGAGTTTCCCTTGTTTCTCCTCTTCGCTAATTAGCTTCCCTTGACTATCTTTCATTCGTTTCATCTGTATTGATCCCTTCTCGTATATCGGTCCGGTTATATGATATAATGTTCGGGGTCTGTTTTACCCATGGCTTTTTCTGCTTCAGTTTCCAGTGTGTCATCAAAATGGTATTTTCCTTCTTTCCTTGCTCCGCATTGTTTGTAGTTACGTAGCGTTGTGGTGCTATAGGTGAGTCTCCTTTAGCACAAATTACATTAGTTGACCCTAAATAAATAAAAAATCTAAAGGTGCTTTACTTATAACACTACAACGCTGAGTAACTACAAACAACGTGGAACAAGAGAAGAAGAAAAAATTCTACAGAAATCTACAAACGGTAAAACTCGGGCACTGTGGTAGAGTATAACTCCATCATGGATAAGCTTTTATTTTGATAAATCACACAGTATTGTACAGTAATATTTACTGATGAAGTTTCGAGCACAAATTATTGCTCATAGTCATATCAAGTCACTAACACAACTTTTCTGCTTCATTTATATACATGAGTAGTGGACAATACCGCATATCGAGACATCAAAATCCACATGGGTTGTATGAATGCAATCCTAACTGGGGAGCAGGCAACACAAGAAGAGAACTCATCAGTGGTCGGGAGGCATTCGGGGAAATGAACTGGGACGAAGAACTCTAAACAGAATTCTTTGCCTCTCACGATTTGGTGATAGAGGCAGTGTGTACAGACACAAGGATATACACAAGGCGACGTGCATTTCACCACATGGAGGCACTACAAATCAGATGGACTTCATTTCAATGCTAGGGAAGTGGAGACGAATCTTGTTTGACACAAAATCGAGAAGAGTAGCAGATGTTGGCTCAGACCACTATCTTGTACAAGGGACCTTCGAGGTCAAACTGACAGCCTTCAAAGCAACTGGAGATAGATCACAATTTGCATTCAACACCTAGAAACCGACAAATGGGAAGTAAGAAATAGGACTATAAAAACCAAGTTTCGAAGTTATAGCTGCTGTGATTGGGAGCAATAAATTGTGTTCGAATCGTCATCCAGTAAATAATACTGCTTCTGTGTAATATCTATAAAACACAACATAATCGAGCAAAGAATATTCTTTTCGGTAAATTCCTCTTCTGGCTCTACAATTATATACATGTTTATATACACAGAATATTCAAGGCTGGTAGTTAATAACAATATTAGTGTTTTTTAAATAATATCGATTTGTAAAGTATGATCAATGCAATTACAGTTCACTAAAAATACTTAAATTATAATAGTAATAAAGATATAATAGCGAGTAGGATATCAACTAAAATTAGGGATACTAAATGAATTTGAAACCAAAGCAGCCGAAGTTACCAACAGTTCCAAAAAAGGCCTTATTCTTTCAGATGCAGTTCCTTGGGGACAACACTAGCGAGATACTAACACAGCGTATTAGAAATGCGGTAAAACGAGCATTCCCTGCTGCTGAATTACGTTGTATCTTTAAGACTACTTCTCTTCTGCGTTCGGGAGTAAAAGACAAACTGCCTAATTTCGCCTCATCCATGTGTATCTACCAATTTAATTGCTCATGTGGAGCCAGTTACATAGGCCGCACAATTAGGCGTGTTTCTCGTCGAATTTCCGAACATCACCCTGCGTGGTTAAGCAAAGGCCAAACAAAATCTATCCGTAGCGCTATTTTGGCTCATCTGGTGGATACAGAACATAGGATTGATGTTAACCAGGCTTTTAGAGTTATTTACCGGATACTAACAAATCTCAACTTCGCCTTAAGAGTTCGATTACTAAATATTGCTGAGGCTGTTGGAATCCACATTAAAAAGCCTAATTTGTGCGTCCAAAAGAAGTTAGTTCAGACGCTGTCCCTACCTTGGCCATCTAGGTTTGAATGATTCTCAATTTTTGTGCAATTCCCCTAATTTTAGTTGATATTCGATTCGCTATTATATTTTTATTACTATTATAATTTAAGTATTTTTAGTGAACTGTAATTGCATTGATCTTGCTTTACAAATCGATATTATTTAAAAAACACTAATATTGTTATTAACTACCAGCCTTGAATATTCTGTGTATATAAACATGTATATAATTGTAGAGCCAGAAGAGGAATTTATCGAAAAGAATATTCTTTGCTCGATTATGTTGTGTTTTATAGATATCTGTGTAATATGTCCAATGGGAAAACTAAGATGGAGAGACCTTCTACCATAGAACCAAAGGATTATGCTATAAGTATAAAACTTGGGCACTGTCGTAGAGTATAACTCCATTATAGATAAGATTTTATTTTGATAAATCACACAGTGTTGTGCAGTTATATTAACAGATGACGTTTCGATCACAAACGTCATCAGTTAATATAACTGTACAACACTTTGTGATTTATCAAAGGATTATGCGTTTCATAAAATTTGTATCCTTCAATTTCCGTTGTTAAACAACGCTCTATGGATATGGAACTGTGGTGTCACTCAGTGTTAATGATGTTAGTGAACGGTTAATGTTTGAAAAGCAAATAAACGAATAAGATATATCACTAGGAAAATGTCAGTTCATTGTTATTTGTGTTTGTCAGCTAATGATTAAATAAATAGATGAATACAAGACATATATCAGTAAAAAGTTTGAGCATTGTGGATTAGATGAAATATAGTATAATTATATTTCAATAATTTACACACAATAAGTTTTGTTATTGGTAATTTTGCTCGAAATACTACCAATAACAAAACTTATCATTGTGTGTAAATTATTGAAATATAACTATACTTTACAAGACATATGTCTGTGGCATTTATTCTAATGTGACTTTTCTCTCAGTGGAGATTATTTAAACTAATGCTCACTAAGCAACATAGAATGATCTAAATATGAACTCTAACCATCTTAGCCTGATATTTATGCTGCCCTATTATACTGAGAACTAATGTTCTACAAGAATTAATAGACTATTGTTAACAAGATTGAATAGTACTGACTAAAGAAAGGTTTATGAAAACATATAGAGTCCGTTCGTATTTCATCGTCTGTTTTAGCACTACAAATGGTTGAATGGGAACAGACGTTTTCATAACTTATTTTGTAGCAGTAGTTATTACTCGACATGCATCCTCATAACACTTGATCGTTTTAATTCGGCTTTATTTTCTGAGCCTTCCAGCTGTTCGTCGATAAACTGTAAATGTTTATTAATCAAATAATTATGGGCTTCGAAAGAGCTACGATAAATTTAAGGCAGGCCCACAAAATAATAAGCATTGTTCATTGTGTGAAACCCAGTCGAATTATTGAGAAGTAATGAAATATCTAAAATAATAAATCCTTTTGTGTAGGGAAAGCGAATCGGACTGGGGACGAATCGTTCTGTTTTTAATTGTAATTCTTAGGGTACTTTTGATGACAAAATGATAAGTTCTTGGAAACACTTTGCTACCAGAGACATTGCGTGCAACAGTCGGAGATATTTGAAATTCGGAAATACTGTGATCTTTATCTGTTCAGTTAGTTTATCACTAATAACTTCATGCACTAAGAACAATACTCTGAGTCCATGGGAAGGTTACCATAGTAACTTTTTGAAGGAAAAGAAGGAGGATTTTAGGTAATTTATATTATTCAACATATTCACTGAATAGCTTTTGAAATATCTCTACAGTAGATGGCATTTTAGATGCTATCAATATAAGTAATTAATGTTCTCTACTGATATCACTAACTGATTATCTCAATTTCAGTTCCGACGCTCAAATTCCTGTTTCTCTTTAAAAACTGGTCATTTTGTGTTTTACTATTTACAATTCAAATGAACATCTCAGTTTTTTTTTATTTATCTATTAGGCGGTGGGCAGATCGGATTGCACAATGGGTAAAGGCACAGGGGCGTTATGAACTAGAAAGAGGAATAAAAATGAAACCTGTTGAAAATGTTGCCCCAGCTATTCCGTTAGCGGAGAGATTCTCTCAAATGAATTCTCTTATAACACTTTGCACTTTTTGTATTGGTACTGCTGCCATCATATACTCTGTATACCCATAACTTGCATTTCATTTTCTTTACCTTGTATATTAACTTAAATGGTGTTTTTATATAGTATAGTATGCATTTTGATTTAAAATGCTCAATTTTTGAATAGAGAATTGTTGTTACTTTAGCACTTAGCGTTGATGTGGACAACTTCGTTTGTTTGTGAACGCAGTGTGTTTTTTTGTACAGTAATTAACATACAATCGCAATTTTCAGTGTACACATGTGTAATCTCAATCGAAGTTTTCTTATAATTCAGATTCTCGATTTTTTGAATATCATAAATAGATTGTGAAAAGTGGTAAGCGACCTTATGCTTTCATGTAACAGTTAAATTTAGGTACTGTGGCAGAATATAGTCTCATACTAGATAAATTTATTTGTTACAACACACACACTGATACATCATCAGTGACTAGATGAAATTTCGAGTACATTTTATTGCTCATAGTCATATCACAGTCTATTCATTACATGACTTCATAACTTGCTTTATATAGATTTACTCCCTGCTATTTTGATTGAAATTTTACCATGTATCCGGTACAAGCGTTGCAAAATTTCGATTGCACGTGTTTGGTTTTGAATTTGATGAGTGAAAATTCGGTGATTGACCTGTCTTTCCATCTGTATCACATGAGTGAGATCTGCACTCAAACCATTTTGAGAGCTAGTAGTTGATACTGTATTACCAGGAGGTAATGCAGTTATAACCGAATTTGAGCCACTATCTAAAACAATTGTGTTTCCACGAACACGTTTTTTAGAGATTTGGACCATAATTTCAAGAATTATAAGACAATAAGCAGTAAATAAATTTCAGAGCAAACACGTGCAAAAATGTCACCAATTTTTAACGTACCGCCAATGCAAGAGAGGTTAAAAATAATAATAATATATTCTGATTTTTTCATGAGGGACGCCAGTTTACAGGCATCATCAATTCGATAATATACAGATAATATTAATAAGCATATTGAGTAAAGATAATATAATAATGTACATTTTTCCCCTAGCTATGTAGGGTACACCAATTGTATATGCATGCATAAATATTGTTTTAATAATAATAATATATTCCTTCCTGTTTATGCAGGAACATATCTATTGTACAGGCATGGATAAGTTATTATATAAGTTAAACATAATTTGATGTATATTAATAATAATATATTCTCATTTTGTACATGAGAGACGCCAGTTTACAGGCATCATCAATATGATAAATTACATATACGATTAGCAATCATAATTAATAATAATGTTTTAATAAAACACTCATTTTTTCCTACTTGTGTAGGACACACCAAATATACAGGCATGGGTAAGCATTATTTAAATTTCATAAATTCGGTTTATGGTTAAGTTACATGGTTGCTGGCGTTTTTGTCTTAGGTCTGTGGGAACAATATGATAACCAGTCATTCAATGGAGCACGTCATGAAATATAGGAATATTAACTTCGCATTAACAAAAAAACCCAAGTAAGTTTTGGATGGATTAAAAATACTTGGGAAAAAATAAAGCTTGAAGTTATTCCACAATATAACAAGTCATTCAATGGAGCACATCATGAAATATAGGAATATTGTCTTCGCATTAACAAAAAAACCCAAGTAAGTTTTGGATGGATTAAAAATACTTGGGAAAAAATAAAGCTTGAAGTAATTCCTCAATATAACTTGGGTGTGTACAAATCCGAATCTTATTTTTGATTTGATTTATATCCAAATTGGGTAATAAGGAAGCTATTTTACAGATACGATCAGTTATGTTATAAGCTACAATCGTGACGTTGTATTACAAATTGATACTTTTCCATTGGTATAAGAGTATATTCCACAAATGTAATCCAGGTTGCGTCGTGGAGAAAGTTAATTCGTTATTAACCAGGCAACTGAAAGATACGGGACCAATAATGTTTGCAGATCATTTGTCATTGTAAATGGTCAAATATCCACATTATTCATTCTCATTCAAAAAGTCAAATGGAAGCTGAAATGGTGAGAGAAAAAAGAAGACAAACAACAGCAACGCAAAAGAAAGCAACGGGAGTCCTTAAGGAGTGATTAATAAATATATACATATATATTCTGTTTAGTAACTGTGGTTATTTTGGTACACAAACTAACTAGTCCCGTTATGCTAACTTTTATATTATGTGTGAACTAATATTACTGTCCTGTGTAGAAATGTTAATCATCTAGTTCCAATAATATTAAAATTTATAATTGTAGTTTGTTGTAACTACACGTTTAAAGAACTTAAAATATCTATGTAGGGTGAAAAAGAAGGTGTAAGAGTCAGGCGCAAAAGTGCATTGTCATCTTTGAGCAGTCTGGTGACTGAGGAGATGAACACTGGAAGTGTGTTTGCATCGCGCACATTAGCTGGTAGTCTATTCCAAATGACTGAAAACTTATTTAAGAAGAAGTTGTACCGCACGTAAGTCTGACAGTGCTCCATAGCAGCTAGGTTGTGATGATTTCTAAGATTGTAACTGATGACAGCGGTAGGTTTAGTTATTGGCTCGGAGGAATGCAAGAGAAGATTAGTTAGCTTATAGTAAAAGATAAGGTTTAGCTTAAGGCGTCTTTTCCAGAGGGGTTCTAATCTTAGTCTTACGCATCGCTCATGGTATTCCAGACCACTTTCTAAACCAAGAGTTCTTGAGGTAAACTGCCGTTGCACTCCCTCTAATTTAAGCTTGTCATTTTGTCTTAGTCCGCTAAGAATAAACGGGCAGTATTCTAAGATAGGTCGGACACATACTTTGTATAATAAAACCCTAGTTTCACAACAAAAGAAATTGCGTGTTATGCATCCTATCAGCCTTCGCGTTTTACGTCTGGCATAATCAGTCTGTTCAGCGAACGTTAGGTTACTAGAGTATCTAATACCGAGATCTACGACTGAGTTGAGCTTAGCTAGTTTTCGCCCATTTATTTCAAGAGTTAGATCAAGGTTACTGTTGCCGATACAAATCCAGCCGCATTTGTCAATGTTAAAATTTAGACAGGATTCAGCACACCACGTTGCAAGGCTACTTAGTTCAAGATGTATTTTAGTAACCATATCGCTTAATTCATGAGTGTAGCAGGAGTAGACGACTTTGAGGTCGTCAGCATATAGGAATGGTTTACCTGAGGTGAAGCACTTGCAAATGCTGTTAATGTAGACTGTGAATAAAAGTGGACCTAGGACACTACCTTGCACGACCCCACTTGAGATCTGCCTAGGATGAGACAATACAGATCCAACTTTGGTTATTTGTACCCTGTTGCTTAGAAATGATTTTAACCAGTTCAGTAATGGGTTGCGAATTCCACAAGAGTACAGCTTCTCAAAGAGAATACTGTGAGATACCATGTCAAATGCCCTAGATATATCGAAGTAGAGAACAACGACTAGCTTACGTGCTTCGCGACTACTAGTGATGCAGTTGAAAAAGTCGAAGTGGCAAGTAACGCAGGATCTATTTTTGAGAAATCCGTGTTGAGACCTTGTAACAAGATCTTCCCTAATTAGGTAGTCTGACAATTGATCTTTTACAACTTTCTCCATGATTCGTGAGATAACTGGGGTTATATTTATGGGTCTGTAATTGCGGACGTTTGCCCTATCACCAGATTTGTAATGTGGAATTATGAAGCTAGTTTTCCACTCACTAGGGTAAGTGCCAGTGTCCATAGATATTGAGAAGAATTTAAGAAGTAACAAGGGTATATCACACCCACTGTTTTTGAAAATTATCGAAGCGAGGCCATCCGGTCCCGTACTAGTGGAAGGTTTAAGGCTTTTAATTGCTTGTACTATTAACTGATTAGTGAACACAATGCTTTCAAGGGAAGAGATAGTAAGGGGGGCGGTTTCACCAGGCATATGTGTTTCTAAACTAAAGTTTGCAAACCAATCACTGAAGAGTTCACAGATAGTGGCAGGTTCATTGTAGATTACTTTGTCGTGAAGTAAGTATGGGATTTCCCTCGCCGACTGCATTCGTTTTTTAAGAAGTGCCGTTAAGTTATAAACTTTGGAGGTACTTTCAAGTGCCGTTAACTCTTCGTCGAGGTCCTTTTGAGAGCGTAGGCGCTTGAGAGATTCAAGAGACTCGTGGATTGAGAGCAATAGTGATATGTCCTTAGTGGAATAGTACTGTTTCTTCAGCTTCCTTAACTTATTACGGTGTGCCCTTGGAATATATTCAGTTCGGTGTCTACTTAATTTCACTATTTTCTTTGGAGCAACTGTATCTAGACAAAGGGTAACATTCCTGTAAAACAGGGTTACTAAGGCCTCCAGGGAGTCAGTGGTAAAATAGTCATCCCATTGACAGAGTCGAATAAGTTCTTGGACTAATCCCCAGTCTGTATATTTGTAACTACGACATATTGTGCTTCCTGAGTCTTGTTTGTTTCCTGTATTTAGTGGTGAGAAAGGCAGAGAGCAGAGTACCATTCTATGGTCACTACTGGAAAATCGATTACCAACATACGTGGATACTGGGATTGTGTCATGACAAAAAACAAGGTCCAACATGTTGTCACCACGAGTAGGTGTCTGGACGTGTTGTTGCCATCCATAACAGTCTATAGTGGCAAGTAATTCGTCGAAGCGTTGGGGGCCGGAACTAGTTAGCCAATTGACTTCTGGAAGATTGAAGTCCCCTGCAATTATTTTGTAATTAGCACTAAACGAGGATGCGTGTGCAAACGATTTAGCTAATAACGCATCAGTTTCTTTTGTTGCGCTTGGTGCTCGATAAACACAGCCTATGAGAAGTTTGTACTTATCTCCATGTAAGACAACCCAGAGTGAGTCAGGTACATTATTCATTGTTTCATCTTCCACCTTACTGACTACAAATGAGCTATGTATATATATGAGACATCCTCCACCACGCTTGCAATCTCTGTTTGCACGGTGTACAGTGTAATCATCGATACCTATATGCACATCAAGTACAGAGGATGAGCACCATGACTCAGTAATCAGAGCTACAGTAGGCTTGGCGACTAATAATAATGTCCTTAGTTCAGATATCTTATTGATTAAGGAACGTGCATTAATTAGCAATATCGTGAATAAGTCACGGGATACTACAAACTGGCTTAAAATGTCACCATAACCTAAATCTATTTGTGCGTCAGCACCGCAAGAATTTATGAATGAAAAGGAGGTCGGACTGGGTGTCTGTACATCGGAGTTGGTGTGCAATGAGGTGGTCCTAGGTGCCATGGGTCGTACCAGTGATTCGGACACCTGGAAAATTTACCATGTGTTCCTGGATATAAGGGTAGTACAGGTTGGGCCTAGGTTGACGGTTAAAAGGCATAGCATCAAAGGTCTACCCATCCAACTGCTATTCGTCATACCGGTATACACCTTCGGGTTGTTTTTATAACTTAAAGGGAATTGTGAAGGAAGGTGCTTTGGCTGCAAGACTTTAGGAGTCTTGGAGCCTGACTTTCTATAAGGTGGAGCATGCGGAACACCTCCAGATATACTTATGTTTCGAGAGGAGTTTTTCGTAACAAGTGATGGTTTGTTGGCATTCTTACTCTCAGCAGGCTTATTGAATACAAAGTATTCTTCCCCATCATTAGTCTCAACCCTGCGAAATTTGTTCATCGTGGTGAGGTTACTACGTTTGGGGGGAAAT